GTTCAATTTTTTGTCATATATTCAGAAATATGCAAAACCAATTACTAAATTATTGCACGAAAAACGAGAATTATGTCTGTTATGTACAAAGAACACGATTTTATATCTAACACATACTTACGTGCATTAAGGTTAAACACAATATGTATTCTCCTTCTAGCGTAGTCGAGTAAAAATTCAACGTCAGAGTGTACTATGAAAAGAAGTAGTCTATAACTCGGATGCAATTTTGGCGTCTTCGTTCGCGAAGGAGGTCACGCGCGAGGCCACGTTTCATGAGAAATCTCATTGACAATGACTATGAAAAAGAGCAATTCAAACCTGACCTACACGAAGCAGCAGAAATTGTTAAATATACGACTAGTTAGATGTAATTGTTTATATCCCAGCGTTTTTCTTATGGCGGTTCCTTTGATACGTCACCGTTGCGTGCACGTAATCACTAAGCTGTTAGCCTAGCATTGATCAAGGCGAGCGACTACTTCTTTTTTCGGCGCATCAAATCTTTTTAATCATCGTAAACTTTATTCGGTTCCTTGATGAATATTTTACATAAAGTTTACTAGGTCATGTTTGGTTCTTGTGTTTTATTATCCCAAGTATATTAAACATACAATTAATGATTTACTAGCGAAAACAGGAAGCATTGAGATTTTTCGCTTAGAGAATTGTAAGAAAGCAACGTTTCATACGCAGCAGATTACTGTATTAATAGATTAAGGGGTAAAGTGTAGGTTTAGGATTTGATGGGATAGTAAAACAGGTGTAACGAGTGCGCATGAATCACGTGTTTAACAAGTAAACTCTGGTGTTCAACGCGCCTAATCTCGTTACAATTTTCTATACAGAGAATACTTACAAGCTCCGCGAAATCCCTTCTTGTCCAAGGCAGCGCATACGAATTAAGGAGCAGTACAGTCAGAATCAATCGATTGACAGCTCAATGTTATGAAATGCAGCTGAGAAGAATCTTACCTGAATTTTCTACCGTTTGGGAGCAAATTTTTTAAATTGTTTCTCATAAGATTATCTTTTAAATAAAATTATATCCGCGTTTTTACTCGTTGACGACCCTGAAAGTTCACGCAGTCGAGAACAATGGTACCAGAAGTCGAACTGCAGGAACTGTTGCATTATGCTCGGCAAGATGCAGCGTCAACCGGGCTATCGTGGGTTTCGATCGACCTCTCGCTGGATGTTAGAGGCCACGTCGACCGAGCTGTCTCCCCTTCATCGCTCAATGGGCACGTTCAACGAGGGAAGGAAGGGAACCGTCCGTTCGGGCAAATTATGAATTACATCTGCTCGCGTATCTCGTGATGAAATGTTATCCGTCATTACGAATAAAGGAAATATAGTTCACTCCTTATCACGCATTCGTACAGAAGGAATTCCACAAGTTGAAAAATAGCACCGTTTGAAATACCCTTTGTCGTATAGCCTTAACGTCAAAGAAAAGCTGTTGCTTTATGTTTGTGCATCATGCATTTCAAGCAGCGCATCTGATTCTTTCCATTGATAGATCAAGAAAGAATGTTTCTTAAGAAGAGTCTCAAAGGGGTATACATTTTTATTTACTGTATGTGAAATAATAAAAGGAATTGTAAAATTAATTTCCTTTCTAACAGAGTTATTACTTTTGTCCTTCGTTTCATGGTACGTAATAATTTCGCAACGCTACGTATCGGAGCATGCTCTTACATACCATGCAAGATCGAATCAAGCTTCGAATCACGAAACGCATTTAAACACATACGCCTTCTGATTCGTTTCGATATGAAGCGTAGCAGAGCGCGATGAACTTCCGATTCGAGACGACGCGGACGTCTTGATTATCCTCCAACGAACCACATAGGGAGTCCGTTGTTCCGTTCGGCTCGTTTGACCCTTACCCATGGAATCATCCGTACCTAGTATAATAATTTATTGCTACCAGCTCGTGTTTCTGGCCGGTAGGCGCCTTGGTTCTTCTCAATCTAGATCGGTCGAGGGAAGCGGCGGCGTTCCCCGACTCAGCCCTGGGAATCGAACCCGGAACTTAGACCGTTTTCTTTTTTCCCCGCTATATAGCTTCTTCTACTATCTTACTCCTGGCCGTGAAACTGCCCCGCGAGTTATCCTATCGACATCGTCGATTTCGTCCATCTCGCTGGATGCGTTTTCCGTTACTCAAATGCGGAATCTCGACTGAAATTCCTCTCCACTATGCGTAGCTTATTTGAAAAAAACATTCCTTTACTACAGATTCTTGATTGTATCTAATATTTAAATTAGAACTTCATATACTTTATATTCTTCATAAAATAGTCTAGCACGTACTTTAGATTACGATAAAATAGATTAGCTGTTTAATAACATTTAATATATGTTCTCTTCATATGATATCGTTTTCTGTGTAAGCACATATTTATTTCCCGTTACCTTTACATTAAAAAACGTGAGAAATATTTTAGAATCCTTTCGAATAAAATCTTGGGAACGAAGGAAAGAGTTGAGTGAAAACGAAAACCGTTCGCAATGCGCGTTCGTCTTTACACGCTGAAACGTCTTACGCAATAGAGTTTCCTCAACAACTGTGTTCCTTATCGTCGACAATTTCGTCAATTTCTATGGACAGTCGTACCGTTACGCGAAAGCAGAAGCGTTTGCGGAAACGTTCCCGGCAACGGTAGTCCCTGTTCCGTACAATGCGTAACAAGATTTAAATCGTATCAATCAATTCACAGCCTCCAGTTCTAACTTGAGTTGATTACCAAATGAATGCGTCATACTAAGTAACCTGTGATAGTTGTAAACGATCTCTTTCGTTAATCGAAAAGATTTATTAGACTCCGGATGTACATGCAAGAACAGATATGCAGAATGAACGATGTATTGACGAATTTTTATCCCAATTCTAATTAGAATACCACGGATTCAGCCGGATTCCGGACATGTACGATATGGAAACATAAAACGTTAATCGTGGGTATCGATATCGAATTAGTGGTGGGCGAGGAAGATAAGGCCTCGAGCTAATGACGCGAGCGATGCAATTAGCGAAGCATGAGAAATTTGACTGAAAAAATGTGTAATTTCTTTGAGAACGCGAGAGGAGCTGCTCTTCTGCTGCTATTCTAGTATCCTTTCTAGTTTCTCTCTGTCTAACACCTCGACGATTTCTCTGGCGAGGATGCGGTCGATGCCGTTAGACAAGTGCGAAACGGAATCTTCGCGGAAACGCTCCTCGAAGCGACAGTAGTTCCTGCCGAACAATGACCCTTTTTATTACTCGTGGAAACGACTACGTAGTTTCCACCAGCATGCTTTTTCATGTCCTTATTACATATTTTTGTTATATACTAAGGATGAGGGACCACCAGGCTTTTCTTCTAATCAAACATTGCACTAGGCAATACGCGTATGAAAGAAGAGTATAAATTCGTAAACAGTAAATATCTTCTTTTTTTATGTAAGAAACATTGAAGTTTGAATATTATGAACACATTATCCCAACTCTTAAAAGCTTTACTGGTTTATTTTTTAATGGGTACGCGTACGTCATGACAAAATTATTAAATTATCCGGTTGAAAACTAATGATCGCAAGGGACTATAATTCAGTTTGACAATTTTTAATTCCTGACAAGTGTCAGTGAAGGGAAAACGCGAAGAATGTCGCTATCTCTTGCTGCAGGATCTCAAACATTGATAAGGCAGAAAGGACGAGCCGTGAAACGCGCCGGCGATCCGGCGTGATAAATGAAGTAATAAGGACTAAGGAGAAGCGTGCAGCGGCATTCACCGTGACAGAAAGAACTAAGTTACTGTTATGCAATAAAGAAGGAGTTATCACTGACGATCATCGGCGCCTGTAACGCTTATTATGACGCGAATCATCTTTTTTCGTCACTGTGGACAAGCGTGTCCTCGCGGTGATCATCTTTCAAGCTCGGTACCACCCTATTGACATACCATCGACGTTATTGTTCACCGTTAAATGTACCGGGTGGCTGGTGGTGCATGAATAATGCACCGTAATGATGGTAGCCCCTGTGCGTCGTATATCGAGAATTATATCGATGCCTTGCATCGCAAACATTTTGTCTTTATGCGTGGATACATCCGCTCCTCGATTTTGCACTCATGTATATTCGGTTTCAATATCTTATCAACTTTCCTCATTACGCTCATTCACAATCCCGGATGTCTTATCCTCTAATACGTATATATAATCATAAAATCTGTATCTGTTTTGAATATTGAGATTTTATGAATTATGCGTACGTGTATCTATATTTACGATTTCGCGTTTGAGAACAATTTATTTATTTTGCATACCACCCCTAACAGGCTCCTCTTACTTTCTCGAAATTAACTATTCAGACCATTTCCTGAAAAATAGATTTCTTAGAATCTTTAGAGAGTAGATTTGTATAGAATGATCCGATACAATACTCTCTATTTCATTTATCCATTTGAAAATCCAATGCAGTCCATGCCTAAACGATGCGCCCTTAAGCACTAACAGAAACAATCGAAGACCCCCAAAAACTTCGGTACCCAATACGTGGGGCACCGATTGACCATCTTCGAGGACCCTCAGGACCCGACCAAGTTTCCCCACCGTTCGCTCGGAAATTCACTTTTTACGGAGCTTATTACAAAACTGACTGGCATATCCTAGACGATGTCATTACGGCTTAGTCCTCCACACGGCGAGGTTCCTCTCACGAGTACCCACCTCCACCACCGTCACCATCACCACCACCACTGTCATCAACTTACCACCACACACCGGTCACCCGTCATCGTCTACCACCGTCGTTCACCAACTTCCACCACGTCGTGCACCACGTCTTCTCTTACCTCCACCAGCCGTCACCAGCACCACCACCACCACCGTCGACCGCCTCCACCTCGGTAACCTCTTCTATTTCTACTGACTCCTCGTCCTTCTCCTCCTCATCTTCCCACCTTTCGCGGCCGTGGAAGACGAGCAGCCACGCGCGGATATCCTGGCAGAGTGTTACGGAGAACGGAGAACAGTGGCACAGAACGCACGTTGCTCCATTTTCGTGCATCGCGCGCAGGAAGCCCGTTCTCTTCTGTTTCGTCATAACTATTCTCTAACTCTCGATCGGCTGACCGGCGGGCTAGTTTTAACTTCTAGTTAGAATAACTTTTGGGATTGCCCATTCGTTGTTCTCCGTGCACTGGCCGACATAAACTTCGAACGAGTACCCTTCGATCTCCACGACACTCATCGTTGAATGATATACAAAATCGAAATATCGGAAAAGGGACACGTTCGTTCGACACATAATAGTGCATTTCTTCTTCCGTCACACCAGTGGAAGTGGATCCGAGTCGTCTGCCGCAACCAGACAGTGGAAACGGACCGTTCGTGGCACGGCTAAACGGAAACCGGTGGTGAACGGGTTCTAACGACGGACATACGTTTCGTTCCTACACGTGTATACGCAGTACACGCGTGCACGGCACATAACGCGAGCGCGCGCTTTCGTTTTCGACGAAAGGGAAGAACAAAGTGCGCCGGTGATATTCGTGAGAGACCCTGTCCCAGTGAGTTTCCAGGGACTGGTTCCAGGGCGTCGAGGGCGAATGAAGGTCGTGCAGGTCCGTGGAACCAAGGAGGCATACCGCGCCATGAGGATGGACTGGAAGATTAGATTGTAAGTGATTATTTTTATTACTCCGCTCTAGTTGTTTAAGGGGACGCTCGATGGTGAGCGGGCGCGATCAACGGTGCACCGCGAACTTTGTGCATCCAGCTACTCTTTTTTATTCTCGGTTGCACTCTCCGTCGTTTCGTTCTCTTCCTATGGACCAGACCAGCTGAGAACGGTACTCTTTTTTATTCCGGCGTTTCACGGTGATCTTTGTTGGCTGACCGTTTTTATTCAAATAAACAGAGACGATGATCGCTTAGTGACGCACGTGTTGCTGCATGCAATTTGCATTACTTTTCTATTTTAACAGTGGTAGATTCAGTGTTCCTAAGTTATCAATAGGCCATGAATTTCATACGTTTACACGGAATTTGAGTAGTATAAAAGTGAATGAAGTATCAACCGACAAGTGCACGTCAGAATGTTTCAAGGATTGAAGGAGATTCGGAATAAAAATCCGCGGCGAGCTATCAATTATATTGATCTTAAGTATGTGAAATCGACGCGAGACTGGGATGAGGGTTAAGGACATTTTGAAATAAGTATACCAGTCAAGGTTAACTCAGACATCTAATAAAACATCCACAAGTGGACACGATAGAACGGTTTAGAAAAGGAAACAATTACGCGATGGATTAATATCTTCGCGGTCGAAAGCGGAAAACGCGAGTCGGATCGGTCGATCATCTCGCGGTATCGTATTAAAACGCTGATTGCCCGTTCATTTGCGATTCGTTCGTCCAGCGTTTTCGCCCGCGATCTTCTCAGCCGATACGACGAACTGTTCGATCGCGATTGATGAACGATGAAAAATACATAATCGATTAGGGACGGAATCACCGACCGTGAAACGCTGCGCATCGTTCGTTTATCTGTTATCCGTTTTTCCTGCCGATCGATCTTCGAAGAAGTTGTGATCGTTTCGCGCTGAAGTAAGTAATAATTGACGGTTTTCGCTGGAATGGCACGGTCATCCTTTTTTTTTTCGTACAACGACTGGTCCGAATCGGAATTACCGTTTTTATTAGTCTCCGCGACGCGATTGTGGTGAACCGGTGTCCTTCCTGACGCAATCGCGCGTTACTTCCATCCAAGTCATCCTTGTTCCGTGAGAGATGACGAATATAAAAATAAAAATCCTCTTAGATCGTATTTGTATGATACAGGGAAATATTTGATTCTAATGATTGGTTATAATTTACGACTCTTGATTTTATAATATTAATGTTGTAGACAGTTAATAAAACTTCGAATTTATATCTAGAAAAGGGTTTAAATATATGTTACGTCGAGAAAAAAAGTATCGCTGCTACGTATCGGGCTTTAAATCAATCATACACCTCGTGCGTGTATCTATGCAAAAGGATATCGTTGATCGATACTCGTTTAATGAATCTACTAATAACAGAGTACGGGACGCACGTCCCAGGACGCATATAAATCTCAGGTCGCGACTAAAAAGCAGGCCGCGATTGGATAATAATTAGGTAATTATTAGCGGTGAGTGCGCGCGAGAGGTGCCGTAATAAGTGGATCACGGAAACGATCGTTATCCTCAGAGAGAGCCAACGGAAAAACGATCGATTCCGTAGATCGTAACGTTGGCCTTGATCTCTTGATAGCCGTCGATCGGAGCGTCGACCAATCAAACGGAACATTAACCACACCGATGCTGAGGATCCAGCGTCTTCGGTTTGCATACAAAGATAAGAAATGATCAAGAGAGATCTACATCTATTTGTCTAGTGGCGTGTAAATCGCATGTCAGCAATTAAAATGTACGCTTCAACCTCGCATATATTGAAACTGAAAGTTGCAGATGTTGCTTCGTGGTTATCTAACATAGTGAATAATGAATGAGATAACGAAGTAAAAAATTGTATGTGTACAACCCGAAATCAAAGAATGTCAAATACGTGTTTCGAAATGTTTAAGGAATTCCGTATTGATATACAAATGTAGTGCAACTTCCATAAAAAAAGTGCAAATTTCTCTATTGCGGATGGACTCATCAAGATGAAGAGATCTCACGGTGAAGAGTTCTTGAAGAGCGCATGGATGCGTGTGCATGCGTATGGGATATCTGAAATCATGATGCCCACGGTAGCCCTTCCGTCGTGTGCATACGTAGCTCGATACTCGTCTAATGTAACATGTACACGGATGTAGCGGATAGAGAAGAACGCGAACCGACGAATACCACCAGGTCCGTGGCGTGTGGTTAATTTACAGCTAGTTCTCCGGCCCGTACCCCTCGTTGTAATCTCGATCGCGCCTCTTCCTATGACGTTCCTGTCAACCGAGCTCGGGATCGCAATCCCGGCGCGCGCCCCGATCAGAAATTACAACCGGGTCACTGCTTCCGGTCGATCGACTGGCTAATTGGCTCCGGTAAAAATTCCTCGCGTCCCGAAGACCGGACCGATCGTAAGTCAAGGTGGATTTACGGTGGCCAAGAAACGGGGGTATCAATCGGACGCCCTGTCATTTTTCTGACGACAAAAATCGCGCATCTTCGGGACGGGTAATCTTCTTGTTTTATGAGCTCGAACAAACGGGAACGCGCATCCGCTGAATTCAACGCAAAAGCAGAGATTTTTCACTAGTGAACTAGCCAAACGCGGAAGTGTCTTACGCAGAATGTACCTAGTCGTTGCTTTTACGAGCCGCACGCGCAATAAATATCGACAGGTATGTATACCTTGTTTGGCACGGGCTCTGATTCTTCACGGTGTTAAGCATGTTTCTCGTCGGATGGAGACATCATGTTATCGCCGGTCGTACTTGTACACTGTAACGAATTAAATCTTGATCAATGTCAACAGGAGATATGCTTTGCAGATCGCACGTATGAAAATGTTTCATCATCTCATGTCTGTTCTTTTGGAAATAGCTCTCAACTACGAGAATTTTTAATTTGCATTTCAGCGTATTTGCATCTCTGGTTAACATACTAACCATTCGTAAAAAGACTTATTACGTTCTGGTTATAAAATTTCTTCCTATATATTTCCTTTCTTTTAATTTTTGATTCGTCGCTGAATTACAGCTGATATTTACTTGTGTACTCTTGAAGCGAGTAAAGGGTTAGCGCAAGAAGATCGCGTCAGCATTTCAAATCCTCATCCTCTCTCGATCACCGACTTCTAACCGCAACGATGACCACTCCACGTTTCTTTTCCTCGGTATCGATACGGATTCTATTAGTACCATCGGGCCATAAGTGTCCCTTTATAAAGGTACAAAAAAGGAAGAAGAAATGTTGGTAAAAAAATCCCAACTATTTACAATTATATGAAGTGCCTAAAGGACTTCAGTTTGACTTGGTGCGGTCTAATTTTTTTAATGCATCTATTCCCATAGGAAAATTTCGCCGAGTCGTGTTCAATTACGTAGATCATCCATTAATCTCTGCGAGCTGCTCGTTTAATTCCCTCGTTGGAGAGCTTTTACGTCGCAAGCCGCCGTTGCTATTGTTTCTGGAGAACATTTTCCTCCGGCTTCCTGTTCCTCTCTCTCGATTCGTTTTATCGAACACGGTATACGGAGTCCGACGCGAAAGACAGAGATAGCAGCTATAGGAATCTTAAGTGGCAGTTGAAACGTGTATTTATAGGTCGGTTTCGCCTTGCAATTCCGCCAGCGAAATGTGCAAATCTTGACCGATCACCGGTACGCTACCTCCCATCGCATCAGTTGCATCCGTCAGAGCACAGCCTCCTCCGTTACCGGGGGAACTTAAGAAACAGCCTAGAGACTCTCTTCCGTGGAATTATTAAGATATTTTCTAGAAAACGATAGCGGCCAAGCTAGCGTGTCCAGCAATCATTGCATGCCAGAACAGATTTCTTTGTCTTTATGCAATTACGTCTCCTAAATTTTCCTTAACAAGCAACTAAGCAGCCTTTGTGAGATTTTGACGAATTCCACAATTCTTCCTGATTCCCAGTTGCCATTACATATCGGTCGCTATTATCTTTACTACCATATTCCATGAATTTCGTTGTTCTATCCGCACTAAAGATCTTTATAACTAACGAAACATCTTGGCATCAATCGAGCGGAATGCACTGCTCGTTTCTCGCAAGTTATCGCTGCCGGTGCACGATTTAACGTTTCGGATCCGGCGTGCAACATTGACCGTGAGAAACGATTCACTTCCCGTAATATCGAGTATCGTAGATGCAAACGTTTTACCGTGGCAGGACAAATACATCCCGGCCTACGCTAGAGATGCCTGGCCCCTCCCACGTAGTACGGGATCCAAAGATAACAATAAATCGGGCGTAATGGATCTCGAGTAGTACAGGTGGACGTAAATTGATATGCATGTAAAGGAGGAATGATTGCTGAACGTGACCGAGCAACCGCGCCTTACCGAACTGACCCCGCGACCCCATTGGCTTCGCAAAGCCGGCGCTAAGATCGTGATTTCACGGTCCTGTTGCATACAATTAATTTATTGTACATCGCGTTGCATTGTGCCGTCAAGGCTTAGTAATCGTTTGTTTTGTTTGGAAATGACGCATGCCATTAATGAAGTTATAATAATAACGAACACAATATCATTATTTTCTACATTTAGACATTCCTTCAAAGACGTTTACAAAAAATTGTATCTATTGACCATTTCCGCTCTCTGACATATAATATACGTGGCCGATGCTCTTTTCGTGTCTAGTCGTTTCATGCAAATTTAATCCGCAATTAATCTCACCGATGATACAGGAGTTTTTGCAAGCCGCGAACCTAACGGAGCGCCATAATATGATCATCAACAAAACCAGTCCCGGTCCGACAGTGTATCACCTCTCTCATGAGCCACGAATAAACGACGCGAATCACCTCAATTTACATATCACTGTACGTAATCGTTTTCATGAAAAGTAAACGATCCGAGCGTAATCCCATCGTTCACCTCGGGCAAGCGATTCCCGCGCAATGACCTTGATGAATTCCCCTCCTCCCTCCTCTACGTCGGAGACCGCGGGAACGCGCGCCGC